TGATTAAAATATAATGAGATAGTCTTGACTCTTCTGGGTACCTTTTTTCCCCAGGAAGAAATGGTTCCAGGACACTAATTTTTTAAAAGTACTGCTTGAAAGCACCCTGTTGCATCTGAAGCAATGGCTGACTCCATTCTTGAAATAATTCTTTTTGAAAGTTATTACAGTGGTGAGTTTCTCTTGAGCTCTAAAAAGAAAACTAAACTGAGACACCACATGGAAGCTTCCTCTGCTCACAATGTTTTTCATACAAGGAATGTTGGGTTTACTTCAAGGGATGGAGGACAGGACCTTAGATTCTGCATTCAGTGCACTGGTTAATGAAGTTGCAATAATCATATTCTCCATAGAGTTTTGGCTGCCACTACAGACACCTTCTTTCCTTCAAAATATGCTTTTCATTGTTCTCCTGCCCTTTTTCCAACTGCTCCTCAGCCAAGTTCTTGGAAAGCAACCGCGCTTCATGTTTAGAATTTATTGCTACTCTTCTGCCAGTACGGACACACACAAATCTCTCCTGTGATCATCCTGCAAAAGCAAGCTAAAAATACAGCAATTTATGAACATTTTGCATGTTATATGGCATCAGTGTGCACACATCAAAAGATTCTGAGCGTATAAAAGGTCCCTCCTTTTGTGTAGGCCAATAGAAGGCTCTGCTTGGGTGCCATAAATAAGCTTATTTTAGAATTCCAGCCTACCTAAAAAGGGAAAAAAGCATTTGCATTGTGTTGCAGCGGTTGAAGATTTTTTTTTCCTTTTACGTGGTAAACTTTGCGCTTCAGAAACTCTAGATTTGACAAAAAAACACAGTTCATCTTCCAAAGTGGGTGCTTTAAGACTAATGACTAAATTAGACATCAGAGTTATCATGAGAACTTGGAAGTGGTGAGAATTGTCTGCACAAATTTTTTAAGGATTTTGCAATTTTAGAGTCAAGTTGTATTTCTGTTTTGAAATGTGTTTTGGGTTATCTGAGGAAACTCATGCCCACAGAAGCAGCAGGAAACATCAGGGAAGGCTGATCTTATGGCTGGGAAGAACAGTTCATGAGGAAGAGTATGCAGGTAATCACCATGCCTTGGTCATGCTTTTCAGACCCTATTCTTTATTTTTATTACAAACACTGTAGTTTAATTATCAGCCTCTTGGAAAGATTTGTCTTTCGTCAGCTTATTGCTCTGACAGGCAAGGATAGATTCAAGGCTCTGTGGACACAACTGAAATTCTGAATTAGGACTGGTAAAGTTCCTCTGAGACCTTGGGGGACTCAGTTCTTGGTCTCTCCTGGCTCCTTGTTTCTGATGATGCCCTCTGTCAAACCCCAAATTTGGAAGGTGACCTGGGGCTCCCTGCCCAGCCTGGACTGGCAGCTGGTGGATCTCCAGTGCTCATGGCTGGGTGGTTCTGAGCCTCAGCCACCGCTGCTGAAACTCAGGAACACAAAGGCTGATGAAAAGAAGGGGCAGTGAAATGGCTTAGACTGCCAGAGGGCAGGGTTGGATGGGATATTGGGAAGGAATTCCTCCCTGTGAGGGGGGTGAGGCCTTGGCACAGGGTGCCCAGAGAAGCTGTGGATCCCAATCCCTGGAAGTGTCCAAGACCAGGTTGGACAGGGCTTGGAGCAGCCTGGTACAGTGGAAGGTGTCCCTGCCATGGCACTGGATGATCTTTAAGGTCCCTTCCCACCCAACCATTCTATGATTCCATGAAGATCCAGGTAAGTATTTAATCACCTCATAATCTGGGGTTCTTACTCAACCCAAAATGACTGCAATTGTTATTGTTTTGATTTTCTTTTTATGACTCTCATCTTTCTTGCCTTCCCTTCTTAGCTTATTCTTCTCCCCAGGCAATGCTAGATAGTTCCCAAATACCTATTTGGTTCCTATAATTAAACCAGATGTATTTTCTGTTCAGTCTGAAAAGGGATTAGTGATTTGTGAAATGGGACTTTGCATTCAAGAAATGAGAAATTACAGTTGAGGAAAAAGCATAAATTTACTCCTAATAAATAATGAATGGACTTTCAAATGCAGTAAATCTCCATTCTTACATGTTCAAACTGACAGACTTTTGAGTATAACAAGTAACTTATGTGTAATTTTGTGTCAAAACCCTCACATTCTGCAAAAATATTAGAATTTCCTGAAATTTATTCTCTGTTCAAAATTATTCACTGAAATGCATTTTTGTATGTGAACCACATTTACTCTTTTTGTTGCTCTAATAAGATTACTCATGTATCACATGGCATCAGTTAATTCTGGGTGTGCTTCTCATTGTGATCATCAGGATTTAAGTGCAAGTATTTGTGTAGCAGTTATAAAACTTGCCCCCTGGTATTTCAGCTAAAATAGCTCACTTTACATCAGGGGTGAAGGAACTTAGACAAAGGAGTACAGGGAAAAAAAAAAAAAGCTACCACCAAGGCCAGAGCAAAAGAGTTGCAAAATTTAAACCAATATTTGCTATAAAACATTTGTGGTGGCCACTCAGCCCTAATTCTGACTCCCTCAAACGTCCTCTCTGCTGGATCTCACACTGCAACCTAAACCCCTCCTTGACACTCCCTTTGCTACTGAGAGTAGGTTTGTGTTCCCCTTGCAATTCTGACAAAATTTCTGCCTTTACTAACATTTGCAGAGTGGTTCCATCATTTTTCTTCTCCTAACATTAAGGACCACATTGCAGGCACCAACCAGCATGTGATTGAGCTAATACAGCTTTTGATTTTGACTTCACCAGTGGAAACACACAGGCACATACTTGGCTTAGGCTACACATTCACCCAGCTAAATCTGTTGATGGAGTCTGCAGAACCTGGAACAAACTTATTTTTAGATACCATAATCTTCAATATATTAACTTGCTTTTACTCTTGGTCTTACATATGTTGTCTGCCTTCTTCATCTGCAATGAAAGCCACCTACATTACTCACTGCAAATTTTAAAACAACTTTACTCACAGCAGCCTGCAACAATAACTAAAGTGTGGCAACGTATCTCATACAGCAATAATACTTGTGGCTGATGTCAGGTACATAATTTGCCCTTGTTCTTCCTTTAAAGAAATTTCATATCCCCTCCAAAAAAAAAAAAGCTTTAAAATAAATTAGCACCAGGCCTTCAAAAATGTTTTTGGAGATTCATACGTGGCTTAAAGAACACTTGGAATGTAGTTTAGAGGAAATCTTGATAAATTTCTGCCATTTGGATTATAGCTAACAGCTTCTTTAATGCAATTCTAACACAATAAAGCAACATGACTGTAACCATCTTCCTGAGAATGGTAGAAAAGGACCATAAAACTGAGCAGCACGTTTAAAATTACTTGCAAAATATCAGCTCTCTGTAAACAACACACAATAAGCATAATTAATACCAGTCCTTTAAAGTATTCCTAAAGTCTACTGAAATCTAAACCAGTATTGTATGACTGGTAGCAACAACTGCATCCTAAACAACATTAAAAATGACAACACAAAATAAAAGATCTCCATCAGAAGTCAAAAACTTATAATTCACTGATCTGCTGAACACCTTTGCCCTTATTATTTGTAGAGCTTTTTTGGGAGGATCTCAGGACTTTACTCTTTAGCTAAGCCTCAAAAGTTCAACAGCCTGTGAGTTATATAAACACTATTTTACAATTCGAGCTATTTTCCCAGCAAAAGGATCGCTCCAGGGGCGGACTGTTTGAATGATCTCTCTTACAAATTGAACGCTCCTTTACTCGCAGCTCCACAGCTTCAGAGCGGCCGGAGCTGAAGCCCACCCAAGCGGGCAGGCAGCTCCAGCGCTCCGGCGGGCGGTGCGGAACAGGCTGCAGGTTGTAGCGCACCTAAAAACGCCAGCTCCGGCAAGTGCTCTCAGGGAAGAAACTCTGACCAAGGGCTTGGAAAAATGCCTTATTTTAAGCAGCAAGCAAGTAAATAAACACAAACATAAAAACGGGCTGGAGCAGACAGAAGGCGATCGCGTCTTGGCAGCGATGCCGCAGCCGTAGGACGTGTTGCTTGTGCGTGGCGCTCCCGCTCCAGCCGGAGGGATGCTCCCGGGCGGACGGAGCTCCGCGGGGGGACCCCGAACCCGGCCCCGCCGTGCCCAGCGCCCCGCGGCCGCGGGAGGATTTCCGCCCGCGCGGAGAGAGGAAACCGCGTCCGCTCCCCACGGGGGGAAAGAAAGCGCCGGGAGCCCGATCCACCGGTGGCTGTCGGGGTTCGCTTCTGCGAGCCCTCGGGGTCGGGACGGGGATGCTGGGGGAGCCCCCGCGCAGCCGGCAGCCGAGGGCGCCCGGCGCCGAGCAGCGGCGGCTCCGCGCCGGCGGCTCCGGCATCGCCCGGAGCATCCCCGGTGCCGCCCGAGCGCGGCGGCGGCCGCGGGGGACAGCCCTGCTCGGAGACCCCCGCGCCAGCCGTGGGCAGGGGACAGCCCCCAGCCCCTCCGGCCGGCTCCGGCCGGGGACAAACACGCTCTCAACAATGGGCATGTTTGCAGCAACATGATCTCACCTAATAACGCCGAATAAGGCAATGACTGTACGGGGAAGCGATACGATCCTGCCGGTCTCACCACACGGCGCGGAAAGCTATTTGCAGATTTGCTAAGCCCTCTTGAATGAATGCATCTGCAGCTGACCTTTAACAATAGACGCTGAAATAGCACAATCTGTGGGACCAGATTTGAGGGGGGGGAGGCGGGAAGGGGGAAGGAAGAGATGGGTGAATATTGTAATCTCTGCAATCTCATTCACTTCCTTTCCCAAACCCCCGCGCACAGGGAAAAACAGCGGTATTTTCCTTTTCGCCGGGGCTCCGTCTCAAACAAGCCGTTTCCAACGCCGGCACAGCCACATGGCACCCCGACAGCCGCCGCCGGCGGGACCGGCGCGCATCCCCACCGGTGCCCGCCCGCATCCCGCGGGCATCGCTCCGCGGAGGGGCGACTGCGACAAGGATGCTCCAGCCCCCTCTCCCCTCCCGCCGCTCTCTCACCTTCCCTGGCTTTCAGCAAAACGGTGTTGGCAACGATGTTTTCCAGCTCCATTGACGAGCTCGGGCAGCGCAGGCAGCGGCACTGCAGCAGGACGTCACTCCGAGGTGCGGAGTCTCCGGGCGACCACCCGCCTCCTGCCCCTAGCGCGCTGTCCCCCCGCGCATCATCCCCGCCCGCCCGCCTGCCCGCCCGCTCCCCCGCGCTCCCCGGGCGGAGGCGGCGCTCCCCGCACTGCCTACTCCGCCGCGCCCCGCTACTCCATCCTCCGCCCCGCCGGCTCCCCCGGTGGTTTGAGGGCTCGGGCGCTCCTGCCTCCCTCCCCCGGGGGTGTGGCACCGCGGAGCGGCCCCGCAGCCCCGCGCAGGCGCCGGCCCCGCCGGGCCGGGCACGCCGGGACGTGTAGTCCTGGGGCGGCCCCGCCGCACGTGGCGCTGTTCCACAACCGCGCAGGGTCCGCAGGGAGGGACGGCCGCTGTCCGCCTCGGGCAGGGGGAGAGCACGGGCAGGGGCACGGACAGGGGCCGGTCAGAGCGTCCTGGGCGGTGGGGATGGGTGTTCGCCGCCGGGGATGCTCGGGGCTCCCGCGGTCCCGGCCCCGGCGCAGCGCTGGTGCCGCGCTCCATCCCGCGGTACGGGGCTCCGCTTGTCCTGCCCGCGGTCCCCAGGGCTCCCCGGCTCGGCTCTTCGTGCGTGTCACCCCCCGCAGGTGCCCACGCTCGTGGGAAGGGGTCGCCGACAGCCGCAGATGTCTCCCGCCCCCCGCCCTTCTCCTCGGGCCGGGGCTTCTCGCCTTTCTCGGGATCTCAAAAGCCCCTACAGAAGAACCCGAGGGAGCCCCATCTTTTCCGCCACAGCATTGTTTTCACCCTCGTCAGGAGCTGTGTGAAGCATCAGCCACTTGTGGAAAGTTTGTGAATTTTAAGCGCTAGATTACAACATAAGTTCTCCCCTGTCTACATAGGACAGATGCTCATGTCAGCATGATTCTGATTTTCCTAGCAACGGGGTAGATCGATTCATCAGGTCAAGCAATGAAAGAGAAATAAAAACGACCCATTACTCCCACTGACACTCTTCCTCCATCTATATTTGCATTGATTAAATCCACATGAAGAAAATCAAATTAACATGCACCTTCTTGTAAGTGGAGCATAGACACTACTTTTTTCTTCTTTTTTTTTTTTTTATTGTACCAATTTATTTCTTTCCACAGCCACACAGAAATGGCCTGCAATAGCAGAGATTGCAGACTGCCTAGAACACATTTTCTGAACATAGGAAATAGATGAGAAATGCATTTAATGAATAATACCTTGCGGGTAAAATTGCTACAATAAATGCCTTTTGTACCTGATTAAGTGTCAAAGGTTTGACCTTTGAAAGTTATTTTGCATAGCAGGTGGCACTGCTATGTACAATATTCCACAGCCTTTCTACTGTAGCTTCAGAAAAACATTCAGCTTTCAGAGCCATTCCATGTTGTGGTTCCTTTCTTTGTAATACAAGTTCTATACAGCAGCAGTTGTGTCAGTAAGTACCGGAAGATTTTTCTCTGATTAAATAATTCTTGAGGGAGAAATTGCTTCCTGGAAACCAGAGCCTTAGCACAGAGATGAGGCTCCTAAGGAGCATCTGCCCTGCTTGTTGTTTGAACTCTTCTGTGCAAGCACTGATGTAAACAGACCAGATTATGCTCAGTTCTAAGTGCACTTCACATCCCTGCCCAGCCTCCCACTAATGATCATCATAAGGACAATGCAAACACCACAACAAGGCTGATGGTTGGTGGAAGACAGAACTTTTATTATACAGAATGCTTTTAATGCTACAAGCAACTCCTCTGTCCAGAGGACAAATGAAGGCATGTGTCTAAATGCCCACTTTGTGAAGCACCACTCACTGCAGCAGCACTGGGATATTGCTGTTTCTGCTGTGCCTCAGGATGAGACTGATCAGTGGGATTTACCTTCATGGGAAACTCCACAGGGAGCACTGACTGTGTTTGGTGAGTTATTTTTTATAGAGGTGCCTGAATGAAGAGGGCAGATCTTGAAGAGCTCAAGTATGAGTTGCACTGGAGATCAGCACGTGCACCCAACAGCTGTACTGCTCCTCTTATCTCATATCTGTATGTACCTCCAGATATGTGGAGTCACCCACAGTGCTGCCCTGGGGGACAAAAGCATGACTCCAGCATGCTGATGTTGCCCTGTATAGTTTCAAATATTTAATTCTTGAAAGGGCAAAGCTATTTAGCAAAAGAGTTACGACAGATCTGTCAGGAGTTTGGAAATCCCACGGAGCTACCTAGTGTTCGTGAGCGGCGCAGCTCCCGCAGGCTCCTCCATCCTGGCGACGGGAGGCACGCTCAGCAAGCTCCTGCAGGAGCAGGGACAGCCAGGCAGCAGGAGTGTGCTGGGACACGGGGGTTATTCCAGCTCCTGCAGGAGCAGGGACAGCCAGGCAGCAGGAGTGTGCTGGGACACGGGGGTTATTCCAGCTCCTGCAGGAGCAGGGACAGCCAGGCAGCAGGAGTGTGCTGGGACACAGGGGTTATTCCAGCTCCTGCATGGCTCTGTGTTGAAGTGGACCAGAGGCAGCCACATAAATGTGGCTGAGTGCAGGGAGTGGGATAGCTGAGCTCTGCTAGCAGGCTGCTGAGGGTCTCAATAATGTGTGTGTCTGACTTACACACCTACGTGGAGAGCAGCGATTCTGCCTCCGTGCCTCTTGGGAAGACCAATGGAGGGGTTTTGTTTTCAATATTGTTATGTTAATTAACAAAGTCCCCCTTGTTTCTAATAAATCTGACTCACTGTGGTACACTAGGACATGGAAAGAGGTGTGTTCACTAGCACTCACTAGCACTACTTTGAAAAGCAAGATCAAGGTGATTAGTCTGAAGCTCCACATTAGTCCTCACTGCATCTCTCTTTTCTACTGCATTGCTAAAGCCTGATTAAACCCCTGGTATATGACACAGGCCTGAGATGGATGGCCCCTTTCGTGGATGTGCCCCCCATGTATTTCCCCTGCACAGAAAGTCCATCAGTTGGCTTTTGCAAAACCCACTGCAGCATTTGGACTCTTACCTCATGACTGCTTCACAGCTGTCAGTAGCTTCATTCCCATGTCACCTGGAACAACTGGTTCACAAAACCAGCAAAGAAAATTAGAAAGAGGTAGATTTATTTATATCCATTTTCTCTTGTGGTGACACAGTCCTTTAACTTCAAGCTATGTCTGCACATTATTTAATGGAACAGTCTGTGAGTGAGGGAGAACAGGAGACCTGTAAATCTGTTCCACTGCATATCTGACTCTATTCACTCTTGTAAAATGGTGCTGAAATACGTGGACTCAAAGACAGGGTGGCAGGGAAGGAATGCAGGGAAGGAATACACATCTCTTTTGCTGGCCTGAATATCCTGATTCAACTCTTGAAGGAGAAAAAGGAAAATTTAGTCTGAATCATATGCAGAATCAACCAGTATTGGAAGGAAAAAAATAAAAAAGGAGAGTCTACCCCAAAAAATTCATATTCTGAAAAATGTGCTTTCTAAGGTGCTATAAAAATGTGCTTTAAAATTTCCATCTGAAGTCATTCAGGAGAGGCTCCTAAAAACCTAAAAGTGCTGAACATCAGGGTGAAGCAGGGCTGGCAGCCATCTTTCCTTTATGGGAAAAGCAAGGTTTGTAAATGAAACGCCAACACCGAGCGAGCCCCAAATGCATCAGTGTAATAGGAAGAGGGAAGCAGCGAGGCTCAGTGTGATATTCTGAGCCACTCAAGGATGACTCATCGGCAGGGTGGGCTCGCACAGCTCCAGCCAAACACAGCGGCAACACACCCAGTTTGATCCTGGCTCCAGAGACACCGCTCAGCCTCAGCACGGCCGCCTCCACAGCCAAGGGTAAGACCCCCGGTGCAGCAGATGTCAGAAAGGCTTTTACCTGTACTTATCACCTGGAAACATACCCTAGCAGCAGCTGTCTCCTAAATCCATGTTCCAACACTTAATTTGTGCAGTAAAGCCCGTTCATGATTAGCCCTAAGCTGGATTGTGCTTGGGATTGCTTCTGAAACTTATTGCTACGAACGGGCAAATTCTTTCTCCTCCTGCTGAGCTTGGGTATCAGCAGGTGGGAGCACACAGGCCTGTGAGAGCATTTGCAGGCAGCTGGAAGATTTTCCAGCGCCCCTGTGTGCAAGGACAGAGGCTGCCATCTACCAACAGTCACGGGGTGATGCATCGTGCTGCCTAAGCCAAACTTTTTGCTTTGGTTTAGATAAAAATGTTTATGCCTCTGTTGTTTTTTTTTTCCAATTTCCCAGCTTCTTTTTCAGTTATCTTTTTCCTCAAGGTAGAGGACAAATGATTGTTACAGCATGTGAGCACATGGAATAACATAACCTACTAGAAACTGAGCAGATTTTATTTTTAAACAAGCAGACATATGTATCCCATACTCTGCACAGAATTTGCCATTCAGTGATCCACAGCAGCAGTTCTGATTTGGGATTTGCTTATCCTTTTCATCAAGTTTAGAGAGAAACAGCTGCTTTCCCCCTAAAATTTTCTTGTGTGAATGATGATCTTTCAAGGAGCTCTTTAAAATCTAACACTTACAAAACAATAATGGAAACAACACACAAGCATTATCTGTATTTTTAATCAACTGATATTGTAGTTTTTCACCAGAAAGACATAGTTAACTATTCCCAGATAGGAAAAGAGAGGCACAAAATGGGAGCAGGCAGATAAGGATCCTAACCAAAAAGAACATTCACTTCTCCCATTATGTATTCAAGTGCCTTATGGACTACTCTGCACCTTGTATAGCAACTTCTCCTTAAAGCCTGTTGAAAGCCCTGGAGAGTCTTTCAGCAACTTCACATGTCAATTTGAATCACACTTAAAGACAGCAAAGGACACAACCAACGAGATTTGGAAAAAGATGTGCAAATGGTATCACTCGGTAGATTGATTTTGAGCTTTGGATGTCAATAAGAACCAGGTTTAGCAGCTGCTCGAGCCTGTGCCAGAGCCAGAGCTGAGGAAAAAGGAAAAACTTTTATCAGGTGCACTTTGG